GGGAAAAGAGAAAACAATGCCACAGCAGTCCCTCTGAGATGCCAGGATTTTGCCCTCAGAGGACAGTTTGACCCAAACTCTGTAAGTTATTCCCAAATGATAGTGGACAAAATTTTAGTTAGGAGCATATTTGCATCTGAATTCTCTTGGCCTTAGCCTGTAAGGAAAAATTTAATGTGTTATTACTGCTCCCACCGGTAAGAAATTTATGGGTAAAATATGGTAAAAGTTCTCCGTACCCCAGCTCCACAGCCTTGCAGCTGTACAAGGGCATGCCAGGACGTAAAAAGGCACGCAGATATTTATATTCTGATAAACAGCAGATGAAAATAAACTGTGAGAGTTATGCAAGAGTTTTTTTGTCAGATGTAAGAGTACACTCGTGTACTCATATGATACTACTGTTGGATTTAGATAAGAAAGCAATGCAGTTTCTGAAGTAGTTGTACAAGTTGTACATACATGTAGTTTAAAGACAAGAGAGTGACAAACAAATAAGCAAATGCCTAGAAACTTTACAGGGTTGTTATTAGTCTCTGCATTTAAGATTTTACATACACAGTGCACTCAGATGTTATACTCACATGGTGGCCTGGGCTGTATCAAACTCACCTTCTGGCCCAGGCTAGATCAGCACCATAGGGCTCCTTGAAAACCAGACCCAGCCTAGGGCATGGGTTGGTGGCAGAGGACATTGCAACGATGGTGACAGCTACTGTTGAGGTGGTGGAGCAAGCAGCAGCAGGCTAGCCAGGTATTTCCTCATGGTACAGGCACACAAGCAACACAAGAACAATTGAGGACTGTGGCCACATTCCTTGCTTCTCTCCCTACTGCAGCCATGTCCACTGGGGCCCCATGCCCACTGGTAGGTTACTGGGCTGGATGGAGCAACTCTGAGGGCCACATCTGATCCATGGGGCCATGTTTAACATTCCTGGCTTACACCAATACACATCAAGAACCATCAGTGATACACTGACAAACCAGCATTATAGGGAATTGTAATAGAGAGCCAGAGGCTCCCTAAGTGGAAAGTGCAATGGGCTATATTTGCTGTATGGGGCTGCAGCAGAGGGTGGGTTGGCCATTAAGCTAACTGGAAACACCTGTGGGTGGTTGAGGAGCCACCTGACCAGAAGGGGCAGTGCTTAGAGGCATATAAAACCAGTGCCTAAAGCACAACAGGCAGTCTGGTGCCAAGAGATACCAGGCCTGGGGCCCTGAAGCTGATGTCTGAGGCAGTACACTTGGGACGAGGGAGCACAGCCAGAGAAAGGAGGCCAGTGCTGGAAAGGCTGGAGCCCCAAGAAAGGTCTGAGGCATCAGGGGACTAAGTCTTGTGGTAGGGCTGGGGCAGTCCCACTGAGTTACCTCTACAAGGTATGGGCATGGCTGTAGGGGTAGACAGAGGCCACATTTATTGCTTCTAAGGTGGCCTGTGTCATAAAGCACAGATAGGGTCAGAAGGACTATTATTTAGCACCAGATGGGTGCAACAGATGCCAGCTAGGCACATGGGCAAAAGATAGCAGAAGGACTGAGCTTGCTTTGGGACCCTGGGGCAGCCTCTCTAAGTATTACAAAATACATCAAAGGGTGGCAGGCAAGGTAGAAAAGGGAGTGTATCCCAAGGAGCTGGAGTTTGACAGGAGTTGCTTGGCCACCAGGGAGTGTCATAGCCAACCCTAGGGCCTGGTCATGCTATGGGAATAATATTAGTGTGAGAAGAAAAACAAGTGTCCTGATTCTAATGACAGGGTTCAATTTGTTGGTTATTGTATCATAAAAAAGGGGGCATTTTGAATTTTCCTCTAGTTTGCACTGCAAAACTCACTGTACCACGCCACTAGATGTCGCATTCTTTGTGCAACACACATACTCTTTTGAAATTGACATTTGATTTAAAGGTCCCTTTCAATGACACTAAAACAAACGGCTTAATAATTTCAGGCACCATTGGCTCAATTCTTCATGTGGTTTCATCAATGTAAAATCAGATGGAATGTTACTGAGGGCAAAGATCTCTGCCACCACTTCAGTGGTATAAATGAGAAGATGCATGGGCCTCTAACATTTTGTAGTAATTAATGTATTATCAAACAATGAGTTTATTATACATTATTAATTATTTAATACATTATGGACATGCTAAAAACCATGCCTTTACACATTCTGTTTCTTAGGTCCCTGGCGCACGTTACATGTATGGTGTAAATAAAATGGTTAATTAATTACCATAAATAGTAACAGTGTTACACATACAGCTGCTTTATGGTGCCATGAAATGGTAAACCAGTCACAAAGATACTGAACAAAATGTGGAACGTCTGTGGTTCATTTGTATGGTGCTATAATTGGCATGTGTAGCACCCCAATGACAAAAGTGGGCTGAAGGGGAAGTAGAGATCCAAAGTTGGGTGGGCAAGGGAGTTGAGGGGCTCCCCCTGCTGGAAACCTGGGAACCCCCATTCCTGGCATCCTTTCCTGCCTTTCCCTGCAGCCCCACGGGGGTTGAGGGGAAAGGCACTTTAAAATGCTGGATTGTGGGGAGCCCTGAGGCTCCCTGCAACCTGGAAGGTTCACTACATTGCACTGCAGCCCCCAGAGAGCTGCAGAGCAAGGAACTTCAGACATCCCTGCTACAAGGTCCCTAATGCTGAGGAGAAACTCTTTGATTGATTCTGGTGTCCCTATGCACAGCAATGGCTCTACTCAACAGTTTTAGACAAACTGGACTATACACACAGTTCTTACAGGTCTTGGTGCTCAGAGACCCTGGAGTTAGGGAGCATCTCCCCAGTCCAGAGTCTCCATGCTGTGGGACCTGTAAAAACTACTTGTGCAGCTTAGTTTAGCTTAGCTACACAGGTGGTTTTTACAAATCATGGCACACCAGGACTCTGGGATTGGGGAGCCTCTTAAAAGCTGAATATGCAGTCCATCTGTACACATGGTTTTTTGATGTCCACTAGGCCCTGGGATTGGGGAGAAGCTTCCTGATGCCTGGTTCCCAGCAAGGAGCCCATGGGTTTGTAGGTGCCAGGCTCTGCCCCATGTCCTGGGTTTTCTGCTGGCAGTGGCTTGACCCCCAAACCCAGAAACTGCCATGCACATGTAGAATGGCAGGAGCTGTGACTATTAGGGATTGGGAATTAGATTCCTATCCCATCATTGAGTGAACATCTGCCAGCCCCTCTATACAGATAACATCTCAATTAAATGTCGTATTAACATAGTTGTTTTTAACTTGATTACTTTGTTTTTAAGGTAAGGGGATGGGGAAATAGAAAAAAAGCCATGACTGACAAGTAGCTGAATGTGAGCTGGGATCTTCATGTCAAAGTAGGAGCAATGATCATGTGGGAGTCCCCAGGGATTTGTCTTGTGTTGGTTACTATTTAACATTTACTTTCATGACTCAGAAGATGGAATTGAGCATATACTTAGTAAATCTGAGAAAGACACTGACCTGGGCAGGGCAGCAGATGTTTTTTGAAGGACAGGATTACAACTCAAAATGATCCTGATATATTGGGAAAAAAATATCTGAAATAAATCAAATGAAATTCTACAGGGGCAAGTTGAAAGTAATGTCCTTAGGACAGAACAATCAAATGCACACATATAAAACAGGGAGCAACTAGCTTGGCTGCAACACTGTAGAAAGGGACCTCAAGGTCATACTGCACTGTAGGAGTCTGTATTATTGCAAAAAAAAAATGCTGATAGCAAACTGAGATATGTTAACACAATTGTCGCATGAAAGTCACAGGAAATGACTTCTCCTCTATTCAGCACTAATGAGGCCTGGAGTTTTGAGTCCAGTTTCAGACCTGGAGTACTGGGTCTAATTTTGGGCACTGCACTCAAGAAAGATATGGGCAAAATGGAAAGAGTCCAGAGGAAAGCAACAAAAATGATTAGGGAACTAGAATACTTAATATATGAGGGAAAGCTGCAAGAACTGGGATAATTTAATCTGGAGAAGAGAGAAAGGGCTGAGGGGAAATTTGGTAAACAATATTTAAGTGAAAAAATGGCTGTTATAATAAGGATGATGATCAGTTCTTCTCTATGGCCATAGGGACAGGGCAAGAAGTAGCAGGATTAAATTACAACAAAGGAGATTTAGTTTAGATATTAGAAATTTCTAACTATGAGAATAATTAAGTGATGAAACAAATTGTATAGAGAAACTGTAATCTCTGTCACTGGAAGTTTTGAATGCAGGTTAGACAAATATTTGTCTGGGATGGATTAGACAGGGATGATCCTGCTTCAAGCTGACCTAGATGGCCTCCCAAGGTCCCCTCCAGCCCTACTTTTCTATGATATCCTTTCAATTTATAGTAAGGATCAAGACACTGAAGGGGGCTTTTAGAAGACATCAGAAAAACTGCTACAGTGGGAATATTTGGCAAGTGGAAGATGGTCAGCTTTTTGTTGTTCATCACTTGTAGGTATCACTTCACAACTTTCAGTTCCCTCTGATCCTAATCAAGACTTTTCAGTCTCTCTGTCTTCCTCTCCATTAAATCAATTCACTTTCTTCTGTTGCAGCACCCCACCCCTTTTTTAAATGATCCTGAAGCCTTGGTGCTGTTCAACAGCTTTTTGGAGACTAGCACCATGAAATCTGGAACAGGGCAAACCCTGACTTGCTACGAATGGAGCTTAGGTGCGTCTTGAGATCTGGAAAATGGAATAAAGCTTGGTGAAACCTGAAATGTCCTCAACATTACTAAGCAGGCACTAGTTAGAGAGCTCTTATCATTACATCATTTAATTTCTCCTCAGTATTTGGAACTCACAGAGATATGAATACCATCACTTAATATTAACATTGATGGTGTCTCCTATTGGTTCTGTGCCAATAGCAATTGTATGACCTTCAACATATACATTTTCTCAAACAAAAATGGGCTACCAAGTTATGAAAATGACAAAAGCATTCACGAGACCAACAACAGAAAAATACTGAAAAAGACCATACTTACTATATGTCGTGCCGCAAATACTCCGTCAACTATTGCACAACAGAAAGCTGCCACCACTCCAAAGCTGATAAAAACGATAGATGCCACTAACTAGAAAGGGAAAGGGAGGTTTAATTATTTGTCAGACACAATCCTCTAAATACAACTATTAAATATATTTTTCTGGCAATCTAGAATGGTATTTTTCATTTGTGTCATCAAGTATAATCATTTCCTTTGTACCACTGCAGCAAAAGTCTTGCTGCTATCTGCATTTCAGAACAAATATACAATCCAATCTGTTGGAAGAAGCTTAAATCATTCTATTAAAAATGAAGTATGCAGTAAAAGCTATTAAATTCAATGATCGTTTCTCTTAAATAAACTGTATTAAATAAACCAGAACCGGTCTCTGCAGGAAACATGGCAAAAAGCCACATCCCTGTTGGCTCAAATAAATCAGTAAATCTTTGTGACAGCAATTCACCTGCATAAACAGAGAACCAACTTGTCAATTCTTAGAAAGCTTCTCCAGTCTAATCAGTTTATGATCCGTTATCCCAAAGAATAATCTTAGGGTTAATGTTGTATTATATACTTTACTTCTCTTTATTGTTTCTAAGATTTTCCAGGCTAGTTCTTCATTTCTTTTGGAAGTAAAAAAAACCCAAAAAACTTTTTTCCAAGTGTTTACATTTGTTCTGAGTACCATCAAATACCACAACTATGAATTAACCCAATATACTGCAATCATTTATAGCGTCCCATTTATATGTAAATGTGACTTCACGATAGTCTTTAACTATAGAAGTGGAAATGTAGGCAAGTCCAGTAAACAACGAGAGATGTGAATGACAGGTAGCTAGCAGAGAAACAAAGAGGATAACAGAAGGAATGATGGTTATTTGAGCACGGTCAATCTTTTGGATTACCAATGTCAATTATTTACATTAAAATTTTTCTTCCACATTTCTTCTCTCTTCACCCTCGGTGATACAAACTTATACTAGCTGCTTACATCCTTTACACACTATAAGTAGCAGTCTGACTGAAAGGGGCTCACACTACATCAAAATAAGCATGTGCAGGATCTGTTTTTGCAGAAGCGGGAATTAATAGATTCTCTCACTCATATGGAACCCACCAAAGAAAAAAGCCTTGAACATTCCCTCGTCCCCACCCATTATAGAAGTTGCTCTCAGTGGGTGAGTCTACACAAGACACTTTACTGTGCAGTAGCATAGTTTACTGTTAAGTAAGTGCATGTGTTTACATGTGCGTACTGCACATGTGCATATGCGTTTACATATGCTTACTGCACAGTAAATGATGCTACTCATGAGTAAATTTGCTACCTGCAAATGCAAGTAGCAAATTTATTCACGAGTAGTAACTGCGCACTAACACACGTGTAGACACCACCTGGGAGCAAATTTGCTCCCGGTCAGCCTTGCCACTAGAGGGCCAGCCCCAGGGCTCCAATCATGGGAGCCTCTCTTGCTCCAGGGCTGGGCCAATTCTATGGCAGCCCTAGGCCCTTAAAAACCTTCAGGCATTTCGAGCCCTGGGGCACACGCAAGCATCTGAGGCCACTCCAGGCCCCTGTGTCCCCCTGGGCAGGCCGCAGGCTAGCTGTATCAGCCTGCCATACAGCTACCTGGCACCACAATGCCATGTGGCTGCTAGGCCCATGCCATCCAGGCCTGCAGCAGGCTCCTGGCCAACCCAGGCCCAGCTGCAGGCAGCTCCTGGCCACCGGGGCCAGCTCCAGTTGCCTGCAACCCACCCCCAGCAGCCTGCCTGGAACCTGCAGGTGTTGTGGAGCATTGCCTCACCGCGCGGCTGCAAGTCCCATACCATGCCCCTGTGCTGGGCGCTGCAGGCTACTGCCCAGGCCCAGCAGCACAGGGACAGCTTTGTAGAGGCCCACCTTCGCATCACCAATGCCAGTGCCTGCCACCTGGGGCCCCAGCTTGTTGCAGAAGGAAACTGGCACTATGGAGTGAGGCAGAAGTCCAGTGCCAATTCACACCAATTCACGCGGGGCGGCACTCCAACACGCTGCCATGCTGACTGGCCATGCCTATGCTTCTGCAACCCATGTATATGAGGTCAGACCAGATGCAGGAGCATAGGCATGGCCAGTCAGCATGGCAGCGTCACATAAAGATCAAGGCCTCGCAGGCACAGTGGGTCACCATCACCAACCACAATCATTGGTCGGGGAGTGCCAACAAGTCCATGCCCTTTATGCAGCAACTGACAGAAATCCTTGTGCCCTGGAACCCAGGCCTCAGCCATGCTGTGTACAGCAGCATGGGCAGCCTGCCCGAGCACCTGCCCTGGCATCCATGGTGATGTGTCACCAAGGGAAGGTCCTCTCAGGGTGCCAGCAGCCCATCCCACCAAGCTCCCTGCCTGTAGCCTCCATCAGCAGCTTCGGGAGCCCAGGCCAGTGCCTTGCCTGATAACTCTGCATCCTCAGCCCCAGCCATGTCACCGCCACCTGCCAGCAGTGCCAGCTCCTCCCCGGGGGGTGGGCCCTGCCTGGGCACCTGCACACCATGGCATGCCATCCAAAGAGTCTGCCTGGAGCTGCACCCCAGCCATCTGGCAAGGCCTGCATGGGGGGAGGGGGGGGGCACCTTCCCCACCCTGGCCCCTGCCCCCCCTCCACACCTAACACAGCTGCATTCCCCTGGCCCCCAGGTTCCCTCCCCCAACCCCACCCCCCCCCCCCCCC